TATGCATCCGAAGAGGTGTGCAGCAGTCCAAGAATGCTTATGCCCTAATAAATTTGTTGGGCTATAAGGTGCCACAAGTACTCCTGTTCTTCTTATAACCTATGTATGTCTCTGATTCCTCATCTGTAAAATCTGGGTGATTGGCATCTCTAATGTGGCCATCACAGTAATATCTACCATACCTCACGTGGATGATGAGGAGTATACTTAATGGTAGTTAATAAAGTATTGTGAGATCTTCTGATGGAAGAAGTTATAGAAGTGCAAAGTATTTTAGCAGTTTGAGTCCATGATTTGAGAACTGTTATTTAATTAGTTTGAAACTACAGTTTAATTTTCATTGTGGAGGTAACTGAGTTCTCCTTGGAAGAATTTGACTCGGTGAGACCATTTCTCAGTATAAGTACAAAGGAAAGGAAAAGCTTTTTATTGCTTCAGCTCAGATTATAAAATAGATGTATGAGTCACTGGGGTGTTGGGACTGCCTCTTGCCTGCATTGCTATATTTTTGCTCTTATCTGTTTTCCACAGCTTGCACTGAAGGACCCTGTACACACTGTGTCGCTGCAGCAATTTGTCTATGAGAAGCTAAAGGCACAGCAAGAATTACTGGGAGAACAAGCCTTTCAGGCACTTATGGAAACAGTGGATACAGAAATAGTCACACAGCTACAAGAATTCTTGCAAGGCTTCTAAAGAGTCAGAAACAAGATTTTCTATGTCTGACTCTCCATTTCAAAAATATGAAAAAACACCTAGCCTTCCATCTTATATGCAAAAACCTGCTTAAAAGCTAAAAGTAACTTGTGTAAAAAATAAAGAAGCAGAGACCGTGAAACTGATTTTTTTTTTCTTTCTGTAGGATTGACAGAATAAATGTAAATTGGTTCCTAACTAGAGTTTACAAACCTGTTTCACAAGAGAGTATAATTTTATATATATGAGGAATGGGGGACTGCATGAGGTAACGTGTACAGTGGAAACAACTGCTTAATTTACTGTTAATAGAAAAAGAAATGTTTTGATTATCTTATAATCATGTGTGTTTAACACTTTGAGGAAAAGTGAGGGCTAATGTGGAAGATATTTTTTGTGTAACAATAATAGCTCAATTTGGCTGCCTTACATTTTTAATTGTTTATGACACCATAATAAAAAAAAAACCAATTCTGCACAGCCATTTAAACAATTATTGCAGCAGGAGACTATAAGACATTAAGTCTTTAATTGGATTTTAATATTATATATAACATACATCCACATACGTACATATTCCTAAGATTTTCATGCTTGGGCAATAAACAGTTTGAAAAGAAAACAAATTTACCAGTAAAATGTTTTATTTTCATGATATTGATCCATGTATGGGTAAAATTGTTAGAAAAGGGAAATTGTCTCATTTTATTTTCTGCAGACACGTTTTCTACTTAAATATGTAGTGTAAGAACCCCAATACATTGTGGTAATGCACTTCTGTCCTGTATCAGAGACCCGAGTTCACTTTCTGATCCTAGTCTCTTTCTCTCAGGCTGGTGGGGGCTGAGTGTATTGTGGATATATACCACCAGCCTTGCGAGAAGTTGAGGTGGAAGGTATGCTCTGTGTTGCTGAATAGTGCCCTCTTCAGAAGATTAAGGACCTGATCCAGAGCCCTTTGACTTCAGTGAGCTTTAACCTTAGATCAGACACTATGAATGGTGATGAGAATGGTAAAGTAAGAAAGATGGAGGAAGGAATGTTCGGGGCTCTGTCAGTGACATACAGGAAAGGTTCTGTCCAGCCCTCTTCCCCAGGAGAGAAAAAAAAGTGTCTTTTGTTTTGTTTTTGGGTTGTTTGTTTTTTTGAGGGTTCAGGGGGTGCTTTACTTTTCCTATCTGCCCTCTATTGCCAAAACCCTTTTTAGTTGTGGATTATTCTAGTTTTGTTTTGTTTTAAAGGAAACTGTTGAAAACATGGTAGCAAAATGTACAGTATGAATTTTCTATAGAAACCTGGGTACAGTATGTAACTGGAGATCCTACTGCCCCTTTGTAATCTTATAGAACCGAAAATGTGTTAGAAATGTTGATGCTTCCAAAAATAAAACAGTAAAGTTTCAATTAAACTTTCCAAAGATACCTCACCTCTGACTGTCTTAATCTGTATGCTTTTATTCTTAAGTATACAAAACACTCTCAATAGTTTAGAGATTCATGCCTCCTTCAAGAGTCTTATTGTACTTATAAGGTATAAAAGTGCTGTGAATTGTAAATGGCAATTATTGTTATTCTGAATTCTTCACTACAGATTTAATTTTTGTGCTTGATGATTCAGGCTAAAAGCTACTTAACATGATTTACACATCCCCCCCCCCCATACTATAAATATATTTCCATTACACATTCTAAAATACATTTAAATAGAACATATTAAATAGGCTTTTTTGACATACTCTGTAGAATGCACATCTTTCCACCTCCTGATGGGTTTTCAGCTTAGGTATTGATACAGCAAAAAAACTGTTTCAAAGGTCATTCTCCTGGAGAGTGGACACGTTAGGAATCAGTGAGGTATTGTTTTGACATTAAAGACAACATATTTTTCAAAATAACTTTTTGTTAATTTTGTGATTGCATTTTAACAAAAATACTCTTAGAACTTAGGGAGTTTTTGGCACTTTGAACTAAAAGCTATATTTTTATCTAGGGATTTAAATGAAGTAATAGTTAAAATAGCCAATTTAGTAAATCTGCTGTATCAATACCTAAGCTGAAAACCCATCAGGAGGTGGAAAGATGTGCATTCTGTGAGAATTTCTATCCTCAAAAGTATTTATGCCTTAGTATTTATCATCACATTAACAGACATAGGCATTCTACAGAGTATGTCAAAAAAGATTGTTCTTCACTTTGGAGGATTTCATATTTTAGCCCTGAACCATTAAAGCCAATGGAAGCTTTGCCATTTACTTCAATAAGTGTAAGTTTAACCCTTAGGGCCAGGTTTTCAAAGGTATTTAGGTGACTGAAGATGCAGATAGGCACCTAAGTGCTTTTGAAAATTTCACTAGGTACCTTTATGTTGCAGATTCTCATTCATTACTAGTGGACAGAGGCGGATTATGGTTTTGTGGGGCCCTGGGCCAGAGCAAGAGGGGGACCCTCCCCACTCTGCCTGCAGTCCCCCACCTGCCCCTCGCAGACCTCCTGCTGGGGAGTGGGGTCGGACATGGGGGCTTCTCCTGTTCCCCGCAGGAGTGCCAGACCGGTGGAGCAGGGCAAGCCCCCACACTCCAACCCCGCTCCCCAGCGGGAGCACCAGCTGGGCAGAGCGGGGCAGCTCAGAGTACGGGGCCACCCATTTTTCTTAGGGCCCCAGGCATGGGCCCCATTGGCTCAGAGGCTAATCTGCACCTGATAGTGGGTTAATGCCTCTCGCCTGCCACGGGAATTTGTTGTTGCTAGTGGCTTCAGGACAAAGCTCTCTTCCTTTCAGTTCAGGCCACCAGATTTTCTGCCTCTGGTGGTAGAGGAAGTTGGGAGTTCAGTTTCTCCTGATTATTTGTTTATAAAACCTTTAATTTTTTTCGTTTTCGTGCAGTTATGACTTATAACAGGGGTAGGCAACCTATGGCACATGTGCCAAGGGCAGCACACAAGCTGATTTTCAGTGGCACTCACACTGCCCGGGTCCTGGCCACCGGTCCGGGGGGCTCTGCATTTTAGTTTAATTTTAAATGAAGCTTCTTAAACATTTTAAAAACCTTATTTACTATACATACAACAATAGTTTAGTTATATATTATAGATTTATAGAAAGAGACCGTCTAAAAACGTTAAAATGTATTACTGACTTGCGAAACCTTAAATTAGAGTGAATAAAGAAGACTCGGCACACCACTTCTCAAAGGTTGCCGACCTCTGATTTATAATCTTCCTCCTTCTCTCCCCTCACAGATTGGCTACAAAACAGCATGGTGGGTTCAGTTAACTGGATCTGCTGCTGCAATGCCTCCCTGCTGGACTCCTTTGCCCCGACTGAGGCATGGCAGAGCTCTCCTGCAAACACATGGCTGAAATTTAAGCAGTGTTCCCTATGTGAGGCAGCTTTCACAGGCTCTACAGAGCGTGAATTATACTCTGCCTGTTCCCAGCCACCCAACCCTTGCACTTAGGGTGACCAGATGTCCCGATTTTATAGGGACAGTCCCGATTTTTGGAGCTTTTTCTTACATAGGCACCTATTACCCCCCATCCTCTGTCCGATTTTTTCACACTTGCTATCTGGTCACCCTACTTGCACTGTCACATACAGGTCTCAGAGTTGGCCCCCACCCTGCTCCAAGGAGCTCTGACTCCAACACAGAAAAGCCCAATCAGAAGCTTCTGAATGTTGAGGGAGAAAGTCTTGAGGACAAGGAGAAAGCTATCCAGCCAGATCAGGGAGGTAAATCCCACAACGAACCTGGGCCGGAGAGGGAAAACCACCCTGAAAGAATCCACAGTTCTCCATCCCGCAATACTGAAGTGGGTCCTCAGCTCCTTCAGGAAAGAAGCAGGGTTTTACACAGCTCCCCTTCCTTCTACTATGAATCAGCAGATTCTCATGATACTCCAGAGTAAGTGCTGCATACCCCGGTCCCAAAAAAGCAAAAGCAAGAGTGTCCTTTGCAATGCAGCGAGTACTATTGTTAATGTGGCGTGGGGTCAAAATTAGGGGTTAAACCCCTTCTCCTAAGGTAGTGTTTGCTGGGACTTTTCTCCTGCACACAGTCTCTCTCGCTGTGCTCTGTAGCATGCTCACCACCCCTCCCCCACCCTGCAGCATGTCTAGGCAGGCAGAGAAGCTTCTTTGTCCCTCCTGGGTAGTAGCCCTGCCTCAGACTGCAGCCTCATGGGAATTGTGGCTGCCTGGCTTTCAGCCCAAGACCCTTGCTCTGCCAGGAAAGTGGCTCAGATTTGAGGCAGAAGCAGAATTGGAATTGTGCCCTCTGAGCATCAGCCATAAACTGTGCTGTGCCATGAAAAGGGGCTCAGACTCTGAAAGGCGGGAAAGGGTCTCTGTCTCTTTCTACCCCCTTCCCTGCTCCACATTCAGTAAGGCAAGCAGGAGACTGCAGCTTTCACTTCTGCCTGCCCTGGCTCAGAGCCTTGCCTGGGCCCCTGCCCTGCAGGTTCAGTGCCTGAACAACAGGCAGGTCCTAGAGGAAGTGCAGTTTCTTCTTCCTTCCCCTTAAAGGACAGGCATGGAGGAGAGGGATTAGCTGGGGGGAGGGGGAGACAGTCACAAGTGGAGGAGCAATGGAGAGAGTGAGGTTGGTTTGGGTAGGGTTACCATATTTCCACAAGCAAAAAAGAGGACACTGGGGGGGGGGGAGGAGCCCCCTGCCCCTGCCCCCCATCCACTCCCTCCCACTTCCCACCCCCCTGATTCGCCCCCCCTCA